TCGTATACATCTTTGGCTTTCATATATTTGGCTTTGAACGATCCATATGAAGGTAAATCCAGAAAAGCGCTTTAGACGCATGCAATTTTGTTGTTTTAATTTATTGTATGAAGCACATGTTTTAATAGTTTCAAGAATGTGAATGTATTTTGTAACAGAAATTAATATTTCCCTTATAAATAGTGGATGTACAAAATGCTTGTGTCAGTTCAGAGATTGAGCAGTCAATTTCTAAGTGTTCTAATGAAGATCAAACATAAAGACTTCCTCAGAGTACGAGTTAAATGCAAACGAGATGGGGGAGAGATATCCGTGTTCATGTAACTATGCACTGTTGAATTATGAATGAAGTCATTTAGTAAAAGAAAAAAAGAAAATTCATGAAAAGTACACAAGCTACCAACCAATCAAAATCCAGGATAATTATATAAGGTGTAATTACGTAATATGTAATAAGAAAACATCATCTAGAATTTTCCCGTCAGAAACATATGATGAACAGTGTTCCGTCTTATACTTTTTTCCAATAGAAATGACTCACACAAAATGGTAATGATAATCAAGCAGAGAATCGATTATCATAAAACCAATCTCAATGCTAAGAGCAAACTATTTTTAATTTTGATGAAAGAAAGTCGTGATAATTTGTTTTACGTTTCAGATAATGGTATTACATAACATTACTAATGACAAAAAAATAGGCTTCTTCCTGAAATTCTATTTTGAAATAAGAAAAAAAAAACATTAATTATTCGTAACGTCAAATCTTAAAATAACCGCTCTCATTTAGGTCAAACAATGCTAATTTAAAGATCAATCTTATTGAAGAAATACCCCCAAAAAGTAGATAAGACGCATACTTCATTTATTCAAATGTTATACATGTTTTATTACAATAAATTAATTTTGTAACACAACTTGTTTCAGATAAAATATACAACATAATAAAAACACTATTTGACAACAAGAGCCACCCTATAAAGAGTAACCAGAAACTATCAATTGTATATACACACGCAAGTCAACTATTATGAATATAAAATATATATTTGATTTATTAAAATTTCACTGTAGATTTTAGCAGTATAAAACATCATATTTTCATTTGTACACAGACATAGCACCTTTTCAGTATCAGGCATATGTTAAAAGTCTCTTTATAAACAACAACATGATTAAAAATAACTTTATAGATATTTGCAATTACAGGGCAATTTAACAAAACACGTTTTTATCAAAGTATATAGAAAACAGTCTTAATTGTAATCATTTATATTACTGAACTTAGTACTTACTATAAATGACGAGATGGTATTCAATGTTGAATATTGAGTTGTCTCCCTTACAGCTGATAAACGAGGGTATGGATGGGGTTTACAGAATTAAGAATGATGGTCAGATTCTACAGAAAAATGGACCAAAAAAATAAAGAATTGAGCAAAAAGTATAAAAAATATAGAAAAATGACCTGAACAATTAAAGAATACAGAAATGAAGGACCCCCAATCCAGACCATCATAAACAACTTTCAATTCCTGTTCTATACCATAATTAGTGTGAAACTGAAATGGATGAAATTAATACTCGATTCGCACTTGAACTGGATGGGATTTATATAGGTACTGATCAAGCTTGAAATAAACAAGTGTAGATTGTTCCAATGACACATTTATTAATAGATAACCAAAGGTTGTTTTTATGTTTTTGTGTTTAAATCTAATCCGATAGTCCATTAGTGATAAATACAGGCAATAAGCAACGGTCAATAATTAGTTTTATTTATACGTTAAAAACAGCTTTCAACAGCTGTGAATAATACTAATTGAAGACGCAGCACATAGAACAATTTGTCTGGGATTTATTTGAAGTACATCAGTGGTATCTATTTCTAAATCTCCAATGTTGGTCATTTTGACCTAAATAAACAAGATTTAACACACAGAAATGATGTACTTGACTACAAGGAGATGTGTCAAGGAGACAGCAAACACAGTGAAATTAGAAAGTCAACACAGGAACTATGCTATTACAAAAGCCCCGGATAAAGAAAATAAATTCATTCCAACGATCTGACATCAACACTATATTCTAAATAGTCAGACTTAAGACTGGGGACTGTAACATGTTTGTATATCACTCACCCCCATCCTGTAATCTAGTCAGACTTAAGACGGGGGACTGTAAACATGTTGTATATCACTCACCCCCATCCGGTTATCTAGTCAGACTTAAGACGGGGGACAGTAAACATGTTGTATATCACTCACCCCCATCCTGTAATCTAGTCGGACTTAAGACGGGGGACAGTAACATGTTGTATATCACTCACCCACATCCTGTTATCTAGTCAGACTTAAGACGGGGGACTGTAAACATGTTGTATATCACTCACCCCCATCCTGTAATCTAGTAAGACTTAAGACGGGGGACAGTAACATGTTGTATATCACTCACCCCCATCCTGTTATCTAGTAAGACTTAAGACGGGGGACAGTAACATGTTGTATATCACTCATCTCATCCTGTTATCTAGTCAGACTAAAGACGGGGGACAGTAACATGTTGTATATCACTCACCCCCATCCTGTAATCTAGTAAGACTTAAGACGGGGGACAGTAAACATGTTGTATATCACTCACCCCATCCTGTTATCTAGTCAGACTTAAGACGGGGGACTGTAAACATGTTGTATATCACTAACCCCCATCCTGTTATCTACTCAGACTTAAGACTGGGGACAGTAAACATGTTGTATATCACTCACCCCAATCCTGTTATCTAGTCAGGCTTAAGACGGGGGACAGTAACATGTTGTATATTACTCACCCCCATCCTGTTATCTAGTAAGACTTAAGACGGGGGACAGTAACATGTTGTATATCACTTACCCCCATCCTGTTATCTAGTAAGACTTAAGACGGGGGACAGTAACATGTTGTATATCACTCACCCCCATCCTGTTATCTAGTAAGACTTAAGACGGGGGACAGTAACATGTTGTATATCACTCACCCTATCCTGTTATCTAGTCAGGCTTAAGACGGGGGACAGTAACATGTTGTATATTACTCACCCAATCCTGTTATCTAGTAAGACTTAAGACGGGGGACAGTAACATGTTGTATATCACTCATCCCCATCCTGTTATCTAGTCAGACTTAAGACGGATGACAGTAACATGTTGTATATCACTCATCTCATCCTGTTTTCTAGTCAGACTTAAGACTGGGGACTGTAACATGTTGTATATCACTCACCCCATCATGTTATCTAGTCAGACTTAAGTCTGGGAAAAATAACATTTTGTATATCACTAACTCCCATCCTGTTATCTAGTCAAACTTAAGACGGGGATAGTAAACATGTTGTATATCACTCACCCCCATCCTATAATCAAGTCAGACTTAAGACGGGGGACAGTAACATGTTGTATATCACTCACCCCCATCCTGTTATCTAGTCAGACTTAAGACGGGGGACTGTAAACATGTTGTATATCACTAACCCCCATCCTGTTATCTAGTCAGACTTAAGACTGGGGACAGTAAACATGTTGTATATCACTCATCCCATCCTGTTATCTAATATGACTTAAGGCTGGGGACAGTATCATGTTGTATATCACTCACCCCCATCCTGTTATCTAGTAAGACTTGAGACAGGGGACAGTTACATGTTGTATATCACTCATCCCATCCTGTTATCTAGTAAGACTTAATACGGGGGACAGTTACATGTTGTATATCACTCACCCCATCCTGTTATCTAGTAAGACTTAAGACGGGGGACAGTAACATGTTGTATATTACTCACCCCCATCCTGTTATCTAGTAAGACTTAAGACGGGGGACAGTAACATGTTGTATATCACTCATCCCATCCTGTTATCTAAGACTTAAGACGGGGGACAGTAACATGTTGTATTTCACTCACCCCATCCTGTTATCTAGTAAGACTTAAGACGGGGGACAGTAACATGTTGTATATTACTCACCCCCCATCCTGTTATCTAGTCAGACTTAAGACGGGTGACAGTAACATGTTGTATATCACTCACCCCCATCCTGTTATCTAGTAAGACTTAAGACGGGTGACAGTAACATGTTGTATATCACTCACGCCCATCACCCCGATCCTGTTATCTAGTCAGACTTAAGACAGGGGACAGTAACATGTTGTATATCACTCACCCCTATCACCCCCATCCTGTTATCTAGTCAGACCTAAGACGGGGGACAATAACATGTTGTATATCACTCATCCCATCCTGTTATCTAGTCAGACTTAAGACGGGGGACTGTAACATGTTGTATATCACTCATCCCATCCTGTTATCTAGTCAGACTTAAGACGGGGGACAGTAAACATGTGGTTTATCCCTCACCCCATCCTGTTATCTAGTCAGACTTAAGACTGGGGACAGTAGCATGTTGTATATCACTCATCCCATCCTGTTATCTAGTAAGACTTAAGACGGAGGACAGTAACATGTTGTATATCACTCACCCCCATCCTGTTATCTAGTCAGACTTAAGGCGGGGGACAGTAACATGTTGTATATCACTCACCCCCATCCTGTTATCTAGTTTGACACACAAAAAAGAACTTATTTAAAATGTAATACACGCTTGTCAAATCAAACATTTGATGTGCTGACAGTAGATTTAAATAAAGTGTACTTCTATCCTCTACATGATTTGCTTTTTTAGTATGGTCACGTTGTTTATTTTTTTCTGCAGAAAATGAGTTTTTTTACAGGGATTTATTTTTAATTGCATTGTTTTAAGCTGAAATTTTTTTCTGCATATCGGCTTATTTGTTGTACCTTGTACATATAGAACATTGTTACTGTTTTTATCACTTATTCCTCGATATTTAAGACGTTTTATCATGTCGCCAACACTTGATTTGTGTGTTTAGTAAAAATCAGTCATCTCCCTTAATATACTAAAAAGCGTATATTGGAAATAAATATTTTTCTTTGAATTTCAGGTAATATTATGGTTTTGTTTGCAATAGTAAAAAGTGCTAGATTGAGAAGCTTGACCAACTTTTTCCTTGCCAACCTAGCCGTAGCGGATTTCTGGATTGGTGTGTTTTGTGTATTGCCTAACCTGTCAACATTCTTTTCTCAAAAATGGATTTTAGGAAGGGTAAGCTTTCCATTTTTTAGTGCAGTTTAGTATCTAGGCTATGAAAAAGAAAACGAACAGAGTAAGTGAGTCATTTTCATGTTTTGGGAATTTTCGTTGGTGTTAGGGGTTACAGCAGCGGCTAATATTCATAAATCTGATGTCGGAAAAAAAAAATAGGTTAGCAAAATCCGAGAAATTTCAGCATTGAATTAAAAATATATAAAATGGACTAAAGCTTTGTGAATAAAAAAGTACAATTATAATCATTTGTTTAAATTTTATGATTAACTTCAATATTTTTAAGAAAATGTTAGATACTTAGCCCTGAGACTTTCGAACATAGATCTAACATGTTATTTTCATTTTAAGAGTTTTCCTGGCATCGACAAATCCGCAACATCTTATCAAATTATACTTGTAAAGTATACAAACAGACTGATCTACATTTATCTTTATTGAATATGCATTCCTCAATCTAGTATGACCTATACGACATATACATATATATGACGCAAAGATTTTTTCGTCAATTATAAAATCTATATTCTTTATCAATTTCTGGTCAAATTACATATAGGTTATTGTCAATCATTTATTCTAGGCCTTTCGCTATATAAGAAATCTTATTTCCGTATACACTGTAACACAGTTCAAAATCTTTGTACTGTATATCTCAGAGTAATATTTGTTTATCAATATTTGTTTATCAAGAACGTTTTTTCGCTTTCCTGTTTGCAACTCTGTGCAAATGAAAAGTTCTGGTACCTAGAGAAATAACATGTAACGGTCAACACTCTGTTACAGCAAGAATAAATTTTAGAATTAAAGGGTTTCTAATTATTCTAATAGTGATCATGGAATACCAAATCGAATCTACGACTTCTGGTTATTGAAGAGCACATAAACACAAGACCACTGAGGTGGTTCATTACAATCTGGCGATTCCACACTGATGATAATTCTGTTCAAAAATGAAATAAACAGTACTGATTTTCCGGTGACCACTAAATAATAACCTGAAACACGAAGGATCGCTAGATACAGTTTTAACTGCTGGATCCCAATTATTGTCACATTAGCCTATTATGTCTGTTTGGGTTGCTTACCCAATTTTGTAAATATAACGGAACTATAAACAACTGTCATACAAGCGGGAGGTTTAGCTAGCTATAAAACCAGATTTAACCCACCATTTTCTTCGGAAAATGCCTGTACCAAGTCGGGAATAAGGCAGTTGTTTTTCACTTGTTCCGTTGATTGATAGCGTTTGATTTTGTCAAATTTTATTGACTTCCCCTTTTTTTAATTTGCCTTGGAGTTCAGTATTTTTGGGTATAGAATATAGTATCACTTGGTTTTCTACCGTCCAACTGTAAACCCTATGGTAATAAGAAGTCCCCGATTGGCCGTGCGATATAAACATGTAGATATATACAGCCGAATCCGGTTGAGATGAGGACGTTAAATCTGATGCTTCGTGTAGGTAGAGTGCCACGTTCTCTGCACGTGAAAGGAGACTTTTAGGGTCCGTAGGTGGCTTGTTACAATGAAAACTTTCTCTGATCCCTTTCAACATACCCTCATTGTTCAGTTGCTATCGAAATCATCACCCTTCATCAAGGTCAATCCACTTAGTAGAACCTAACCACATCATTTAAATAAAAAGAAAAAAAATCCTCAATGGTCTTATTTAAAACTCAAAAACACAATATTACACGTACTAAACATATTAAATAAGTATTGCACCTATAATGTATACGAGTTTTGTTAATGTACATAATGACGTTACCTTTCACTTATATATATGTATTGTGAAACTGAAATCATAGCTTAAGGTTTTATTTAATCGGGTGTCAAAAGTTCCCAAGCAACCGCATTGTTCATTTCTAGATGTGATTTAAGATATGAAGCCGACTACTAAAATGTAACTGTTTCTTTACGTGGTAATCCTATACTAGTATTTCATGTTTAATTGGATCAATATAGTCATTAAAACTTTGAATTATTCAGCGAGAGGACATCATTTATATAGCGGTACGTGCAGTTATGGTAATGGTAGCTTCTTTTCATTAATCGCAAGAGGATCCTATATATGAAGCATAAAAGCCATATTTCATGGGTTGACACTCACAAAAGCGCTTTAGAAGCACGAAATGTATAAAGTGTCATTTTAATTGACAAAATAATTAAAAGAAAACATGCACATAAAGTTACTGGTGCATGTTTCTTTTTGTGCGGTATTCAACAATTACCTAAACTAATACATAAAGGCCCACGATGTGACATCATGTGAAACAATTCAAATGAAAAAAAACACAACGGCCTAATTTATGACTGACTTGGGACTGGCTTATATATAAAATGACGCGTGGTTAAACAGTCTCCGTGTTGAAGGCCGTACTTTGACCTATAATGGTTTACTTTTACAAATTGTGACTTGGATGGAGAGTTGTCTCATTGGCACTCATACCACATCTTCTTATATCTATATTTTGAACGCTCAACACTGCACGTAACCTGAGATAGTGGTGTAACAGCAAAGCATAAAAACAAACTGTAATAATCAGTTGGAAATGGCTTGACTCATCAGATTAGGACGAAGCACGTGACAAAAACAACTAACATAGACAAAAGACGCAAAGTACCGATCTGAGAGTACTCGCAGTTACTGAAAGCTAGTTCAAAACTAATCTCAACTTATTGATAAATCATGTTCTCCCAGACTAAAGCACACCTCCACCGTATACTAAACATGCATTCTCATTTTTCGTTATCTTTTCTCAACGATAGCAATAGTGAAGATTAAAAGGAAACTTAGAATAACTAAGAAGTACACTTGTATGATATCTTAAAGACTATAATGCAGTCATCAATATCAATGTTAAGCACAGTGGAACCATCTGTTCATTTTCGATAAAATGACACTTATCTTAAAAACTATTTAGGTGGGACGCTCATTAAAGGAAAATCTATTAATGATAAGTGATTTTTTATTTTCCGTTCAAACATGTCAAAGAAACACGTAAAGCTTTACTAATACTTTGTTTCTGATCTATGAACTTACGTTCGCTTTAAAACGGTAGTTCAATAATTTTTATGACTATTTTATTTTTATATAATTTGAATCAATATTTCATCTCTAATTATTGTCACTTCATCACTAAGTAAATTCAACCCAAATACATGTTGTTGAGTATACATAGACATTTCACAAAGGTAAACGTGTTATGAATAGATATAGGGATTATTATATTGTGTTCACATAATGTCAAAGATGCAGGAACATTTCTTTTTTTTCTTCCCATCCAAGTTTTGTGAACCTCCATGCATGCGCAAACACATCGATCGGTTTGTATCGAAAGTTTTTGATATTATAGTATATTAGTCCTATATTGGGACTAAAACGACAGCGTCCTGGAAACACATAATCATTATGTTACAAGAAGTAAACGAAAAAGGGAGCCTTTGACTTAATTCTAGTCTGTGTATACACTGTATACCAAAATATTAAAATTTAGTATAAATTTATGCTGATGCTGTTCTTTTCTGAAAAAAGTCTTATTTTCATATATCGTGTAGTTACTAGTAAAGGCATATTCGCAGACAGATATATTCAGTTGTAAAGTGGATCCTCGAAGTCTCCAAGTGACAATATGCATTCCAAAAAATTATTACTGTCCCTTGTGATAGCTAACAAACTGTAAATACTGTTTTAAATTACCATTTATTTCCACTTATAATATGACAGAAATGTTTCTATTTATTTGTAGGCGATGTGTAAGATATATTATTTTGTCTGGAATATGTCGTACACGGCGTCAATTGTTATTTTGACAGCCATTGCAACGGAAAGATATATCGCCATAAGATTCCCGTTGAGAGCTAGAAGATGTATTACTCAAAAACGGCTGTTTCTGGTACAAGCAATAATATGGATGATAGCAGCAGTATATGGAACGCCATATTTATTCATATTTGACTTATATGAGATGCCTGGAATGGATGGTGAAATAACATATTATTGTTTTCCAGATTATTCGCGTATTAATATGAAAGCACTTGTAACGGCAAATTTCATCATTTGGTATGTCATTCCACTGGCATTAATGTCCTATATGTATTGTAGAATTGGAATATCTCTTTGGAAAGTCAGTAAAACACCACGCACTCCAAAACCTTCGAAACAGATAGAAATGCCAGCTGAAGATTCCTATTATACAACGTCATCATCTGATGGTCAAGGTCGAAAACGTTCTCTTCGAATGCATAAAATGTCGTCTATATGTAATCACAAAGAACAAAAAGATAAATGTCTATACTGTAAACCCCAAAACCAACGTAATTCACTGAAGGAAAGCACAAAACGCTGTTCTTGTGAAAAAGTCGAATCTGAAAGGAGTTCCGCATCCTCATCACAAATGGTTGATATAAACACGAACCACTCCCGTTTTAATTGTAACAATGTCGCATTTGTAGAGTATAAAACCCGAGAGACTAAGAATGTCCCGAAACTTCGTGTTTATTTCAACACAGAACAAACCCGAATGAACAGCATAAGAGCAGTAAGGAGTAGAAGACGCGTAATAAGACTCCTAGTTGCCGTGGTGATATCTTTTACTGTGTGTGTTCTCCCTCATCATATAAGAATTCTCTTGTTATTTTGGAAAGTGCCTATGTATGACCTCGAACGGGTTTTATCTCCCGTTTCATTCCTAATATTATATTTAAATAGTGCATTAAATCCAATTTTATACGCACTATTCTCAGCAAACTTTAGAAAAAGTTTTAAAGAATCATTTCCATGTCGTCGTAGGAGGCGACCATTACCATTCTTCATACCGGATACAAGGAGTGGAAGCTTTTAGTTTTTTTTTGTGTTTTTGTTACTGTCTAACAAACATGTTATCGCGCCTCCACTTCGATGAGAACTAAGTTGTCAAAAGGGATGGTTCCGAGGTATTTGTGAAACATGGACATACATATACTTGATGGAGAGTTGTCTCGTTGGCACTCATACCACATCTTCCTATGTCTATTGTAGATATGTTTTTAATGTTACAACATTGATACGATATTGTAACCTATGATGTTCACTTTTATCCAGTTGACGATTTAATAAAGAATTAGAAAAGAGAAAAGGAAGATGCCACAAGGATATATAAATCATAAGTCGAAGACAAACTGACAATTCCATGGCAAGAAACGACTTATTAGTTTGAATAAGCCTTTGGTATATCATCTTCAACCTGTTTATTAGTGTATGTATCATCAGTCTATATATAGAATGAAGTTTAACGTTAACACGTAGCACATATCTATTTTAATGTCTGTAAACGTTAAACGTTTGCTGTGTCCAGCAGAACATGGTTACAACAATGCGATGTGAACTCTGTGTGGGATGAGGCTCATATTGTAACTCAGTGATATTTAAAATTCTCTCTTTTGAAAACAAAAGTTTTGTAGGATAGAAATTAAAATACGCCCCCTCCGACCACATGTAAGGTATCGCTTGCTTAAAAAATCATTTAAAAAATCAGCTCGCTTGCTCCAATTTTTTTTCATGAAAGTATTTTTCTTTTTTCCAAAGAATGATACAAAAAAAAAAACAATTACTACTAAGATATCTCTATTTAGAAAAGCTAATTCTGTTTCTAATTATTCATTTATCTATTGAAAAACAGGAGGAATGCGATTCTAAATTATTTTGAACTGTTGTAACAGTGGGGAAACATCCAGCCTTTTTCGGGCTCGTTACTAAAGTAACTCCTCAGCTCAAAGACTTTGCTCAACAACGATGGATTTATTATTTAAATATTGTTATAAATGGCTATTGTGATGTAATAAAATGTAATAAATGACTTTATTTGTCCATTAGATTTTTTTTTTGCATTCACCAACAGTAACGTAAGAGAGACTCGAAAGTTACCACAGTGACATTCAAACTCATTAGTCGAAAATAAACTGACAACGCCATGGCTAAAAAAAAAAGAAGACCAACAGACAAAAAACAGTACACAAAAAACACAACATAGAAAACTAAAGACTGAGCAATAGTCATTAATTCCAGAAGTATTTTACAAGTAGGAAGTAATTATGGTCTTGACAAAAATGAAGGTTTTGTAAATAGAAACGTTTAATGAAGAATATATGACTCTGGTAATGAAAGTTAAATCCTTATCAGAAAATGTTGTTTTTCTCTGGTTTATGTCCTCGTCTCGATGACAGATAAGGTAACATTCACAAGGCAAATGACGAACGCAGAAAAATAGCAAATGATGAAAACTTGTATTACCATGATAATGATAGCGCCCTCCGTTTGAAGAACGGTTCAGTAAATACATGTCTCTAAAAATCTTAGCATCGAACCCCAGTAGACAAAGATAACGATAGAAGAACGACAGGTGTTGATTAGTCAAGGGGTAAACCAAATCAAGTCTCGAAAACCGAAGTCCTCCAGTAGAAGACATGTGCATACTTCGTCTAGTGTCAGAAAACACGTACCTAGCAGGAACCAAAGAGATTATCGAAACCCTAGAGAACAATACAAAACGAACGACAGACAAGACAAGACAATTTTTCAAACAGAAGAGAGGACAGGAATCGTACATACAACAAAGTGTATAAGAGAAACAACTTTCACAGGAGTGATGACACTTCGTCCCGCTATGAAACAATGCAAACAGAAAATGCCTATCAAAATTCATGTTGGTACTGCGGTGAGTTTAATCATACCGCCTCTGTATGTAGACATGACAATTATGTACAATGTAATAATTGTTACGAATAAAGCCACAAGGCCAAACATTGTCAATATGAGGATGTAGGCCAGGAAGAGAGTGCCGAAAAGATAGGTTACACTGAGAAAACAGGTGTTCCTAATACGGCATCGTGTAATCGGAAAAAACATAAACACAGTAAGAAAAAGTCGATAGGAATAAAACACGAAATTGTTATAGATTATCTTAATATTTGCAGTATGACATCAAATGTATTTCTTATATATAAATATTCTTATCAGATGAAACTCAAGGCGCCTTTAGAAAAGACAAAAGAGTTAAAGATCATGTTTTCACCCTTTATAGACTCTGCTCTTTAAGAAAAACAAAAAAGAAAAAAAAACTGTTCTAGCTTTCTTAGATCTATCCTCTGCTTTTGATAAAGTCTGGAGAGATGGTCTATTTATCTTCTTTGGCAAAATAATATTCAAAGAAAATGCTGGAAACTATTACGTTCTCTTTAAAAAAATGTTAGTAACAAGGTCATTTTTTGGATATTACGAATCAGACTGGTTTGATCAAAAATTTTGCCTAAAACAAGGATGTATTTTATCTCCTACATTACTTTCTATTCTAATGTCTGATCTTGTCTCAATGATAAAAGAAAAGAATCTCGGTATTAATGTAGCGACAGAAGTTATAAGTAGTCTACTGTTCGAAGACGATATTGTTTTACTAGGGAACACGAAGAAGAATTACAAACCCTGTTGAATGTTGCCAGTGAAATTGTTTCAAAATGGAACCTAAAGTTTAATGCCAAAAAAATCGAAAGTTCTAGTGGTAGGAAAAAGACATATAAACTGGTTTCTAGGGGATGTTTTAGTTGATGAAGTAAACGAATATAAATACTTGGGAATTTATTTCTCAAGAACGTTAAAATTTAATCATCAGAAATACCTAAAGGAAAACTTTGAAAAGAAACTTAACTATATTATTCGGTTTTTAGGAGAACACAGTGATTTTAATCGGTTTAATGTTAGCTGTGCTTTGTGGATTTCGGTTATACGTCCATCCATTGCTCATGCTTGTGGCGTATGGCACCCCAAGCCAAAAATTCGGAAACGAAATGCTAGACAGCTGGCAGTACAAAGTCGCAAAAGTTATAATTAACTCTAAAATGAACTTTCCAAAATGCTCTGTTTTATCTTTTCTATTCGTATGTAAAAGTAACGATAATTATTTATATGATTTTAGTTTAAAAAAAACTATAGGGACACGATTTATTTGTTTTACAGTTTGATTTAGAAGAAATCCCGACATAGCTAGATAATACAATTAATTATCTAATTACTAACACAATTCTATATTAATATTCTTGTAATTGTAATAAAATACATCAAATAACATAATGACAAACCTAATCTTGAATTATATCCAATTTTTTGAAATTTACCTGTGACGCCACTTTTGTGGCGTTGATACAGTCGTGTGACGGACAGTTCGTGGTTTCGTTGTGTTGTTAAGTGTGCTGTCCTAGGTTGTTTTACGTGTTCGTTTTTTTTCTGTGGTTAGCATGTCGAAATGTACTATTGTATTGTTTATTTGTGTATTTCTCTGTCCTGAATGTTCTTGCATTTATTTGTACTGTATTCCTGTCATGTAATGTTGTCATTTTAGTGGTATATTTATCATTGCCAAAAAAGCGCGAGGTTTGGCTAGCCACAAAACCAGGTTCAACCTACCATTTTTTCTTAAAATGTCCTGTACCAAGTCATGAAAATGGCAATTGTTATCTTATAGTTCGTTTCTGTGTGTGTTGCATTGTCGTTTGTTTTTTGTTGCACTTCAGTGTTTCTGTTGTTTCGTTGTTTTCCTCTAATAGTTGATGTGTTTCCATCGGTTTTAGTTTGTAACCCGGATATGTTTTATCTCAATCGATTTATGACTTTTGAACAGCGGTATACTACTGTTGCCTTTATTTATCGGAGTAAGGATAGGAATCTTTAAAAAATTATATGGACCGTCAAAAGATCACATATTTTGCTAGGTTAGATTCTTTACCTGGTACAAGATATTGCAATATGGTTTTTAACGAACTTAAGTTATCTAAAACTGAATATTTTAATCATATTAACGGCATATTCCAGTCACTGGACTAGACCATTATATACATGGAAACGTTAATATAAAAACGGTTAATAATTTTTTGGTATAGAAGCTTGTGATAAGCTTAAGTCCGAAATCCTTGAAAAGCAAAGCCTCGATGATTACCGTTCATTTTACGTTACACAAGCACAACAAACCTATTTATCAAAAGTAGATGATGTTTAGGCCTCTCGTCTCAAGTTTCTGGCGAGAACAAACTGTCTTTCATTGAATGCTGTGTTATTCCGCATGAAATTGAAAGATAGTGATACATGTCAAACATGTTGTATTGAAGAATCTGTTTTGCATGTATTGTTAGAATGCCAGGCATATAATGATATTCGAGAACGTTTCTTTTCTGATTTGCACGATTTCCTTCTCAATGCAGGAAACGGCGTGTTTTTCTCATAGTTGCTTCGCTTTAATAAACTTCAATTAATCATCGGCGACATAGCCTTTTTGTTCGGTGATGATATCGGAAAAAAGGTTGATGAAATGGGCAAACGATATCTGACCTCAGTCATTAAAGCTAGCAATGAGTTGTTGCATGTTAATGTCTTAATTAATTTATATGTATGAAAGTTTGAAAGTGTGCCAAATTTATGTGAATATGTATTTTTAGAAAAAGTCTAAATATATGTGTAATCTTTTAATAATATTCAAGATATCGCACTGCACTTTTACGGTTTCTTATATTCATTTTTATAAATGTTTATTGTCAAAAGTTGGATTTTAAAAGAAATACTTTCACGATTATATTGACATTTTTAATTTTATAATGATGTGATGTTTTACGAAAACTGTATATATTGTATAGTTTGTATGACGCAAACACTAATACCCTGCTGCATGGTGTTTGCCCCCGATGTAAAGGGGTAGTTTCTCAATAAATATATTATATTTGCCTTCGGGTTTATATGATCCGTTCATCCTATTTCGACTCTTCAAAATTCAAGAGTCAATCCTAAATTGAGGTAAATTATATGACCTTCCAAATACCGTTTCGATTCCTAACATCACTGAAGAGATATTAATTGTCGAAATCCGGATATGGTGTACCAATATTTGCACCTTATGTTTGCGGTATACCATCTTTTCCGCAAGTTTATTGTTTTCTGTTTGGTATTAAATCAATAATTAAGATCCATTTTGTTACATCTGGTGATCCGTTTATTTGGCAATCGCGATGGCAGTCAGCAGGGTTTAAGAACATCTGTTGTTCGACCTGCTAGTCAAATGCGTTTTGTTAAAATATATTTTTTCACTTTTTTGGTCTTTTGGAAAATGTTGTTTGTGCTGTATTTAGACCCCTCTACCATTTTATATATAGTTTATAAAATAGATATAAGTATAAAACGATTCTTTCCAAAAGATTACCACTTTATTATATTTTCTAAAATTTATTTAAAACTATTAAAAAGAAGTGTTACATGTTTTTTCTACATATAGTTACAAATCTTCGTATCCTGTAAAAAAAATCCCTAACGTATTGTTCTTAATCAGTATCATCATGATAATGTTTTTAAAAAAAAATAATATCTGAATGACATTCCTATCAAGATATTCTAGGGATTAACTTTAACTACAGTGAAATAAGAAAAATCTTCTTGCACTTGAATTCAA